AAAGGTTTGTGACTATTTCCTATAACTTTCCCTAATATTTCCCTTTAATATTTCTGCCACAATCCTGCGTGAATCCCAACACCAGCAGAACAAAGGAAAAACCAAGATCAGAGCAGAACTAAATGACACTGAAACAAACAAACCAAAAATACAAATGATAAATGAAACAAAAAGCTGGTTCTTCGAAAAGATAAATAAGATTGATAGACCATTAGCAAGTTTAACCAAGAAAAGAAGAGAGAAAATCCTTTATCCATATAATCTAGAAAACCTAGAAGAGATGGGTAAATTCCTGGAAAAATACAACCCCCCTAGCTTAAAACAGGAAGAATTAGATACCCTAAACAGACCAATAACAAGCAGCGAGACTGAAACGGTAATTTAAAAATTACCAACAAAAAAAAGTCCAGGACCAGAGAGATTCACAGCAGAATGCTACCAGACATTCAAAGAAGAATTGATACCAATCCTTTTGACACTATTCCACAAGATAGGGAAAGAAGGAACCCTCCCTAATTCATGCTATGAAGCCAGCATCACCCTAATTCCAAAACCAAGAAAAGACACAACCAAAAGAGAAAACTACAGACAGATATCCTTGATGAACATAGATGCTAACATCCTTAACAATATACTAGCTAACTGAATCCAACAATATATCAAACAGATGATCCACCATGATCAAGTGGGTTTCATACCAGGGATGCAAGGAAAGTTTAACATACACAAGTCAATAAATGCGATTCACCACATAAATGGAATTAAAAACAAAAATCACATGATCATCTCAATAGATGCAGAAAAAGCATTCAACAATATCCAATACAGCTATTTTATTTTTTAATTTATACTTTTAAGTTCTGGGATACATGTGCAGAACATGTAGGTTTGTTACATAGGTATACACGTGCCATGGTGGTTTGCTGCACCCATTAACCTGTCATCTACATGAGGCATTTCTCCTAATGCTATCCCTCCCCTAGCCCTCCACATGGAGCTGGGGGTGGGGTGACACAAGCCCCACTGTGGCCACCACCACTGGGATTGCACTGGGTCAGATGTATGTTCACTCAAGGACCTAAGACTCTTTAATCAGTAGCTGGCAAATCCAGCCAGGCTTGTGTCCTTCTGGTTAAACCTGAAGCCAACAGTCCTGGGTCTCACCAAAGCCTTGTAACCACTACCTGGCTACTGCCTATGTTTACACAAGAACCTAGGGCTCTACAATCAGCAGGTGTCAAAGCCCACCAGGCTTGCGTCCTTCCCTTAATGGCAGTGAGTTCCCCCAAGCCCTGGATAGGTCCAGAGATGCTGTCTGGGAGCCAAGGACTGGAGTCCAAACCCTTAGAAATTGACGTGATGCTCTATACTACCGCAACTGAGCTGGCTCTCAAACCACAAGACAAAGTCCTTCCTATTCTTCCCTCCTCTTTCCACAAGCAGAGGAAATCTCCGTGGCCACCACCACCATAGGCCCATAGGGAGTACTTCCAGGCTACCACTGATGTTTCTCAAGGGCTTTTCAGTCAGCTTGTGGTGAACGTGCCAGGCTTGGGACTCACCCTTCAGGGCAGTGTGCTCTCCTCTGCCCCACTACAGGTCCAGAAATGCCATCCAAGAATCAAGGCCTGGAATCGGGGACACCAAGAGTCCACTTGGTATTCCATCCCACTGTGGCCAAGATAGTACTTAAGGTACAAGACAAAATCCCCTTTACTTTTCCCTCTGCTTTTCTTAAGAAAGAGTCTCACTATAGCCACCACAGCTGTGAATGTGCTAGGTCTCACCTGAAGCCAGCATGCCACAGAGTCTCACCCAAGGCCACTGTGTACTACCTGGTTAACACTGCTGGTCATTCAGGGCCCGAGGGCTCTTTAGTCAGCAGATTATGAATCTTGCCAGAACTGGGTTCTTCCCTTCACAGCAGTGGGTTCACTTCTAGCCCAGGGTATGTCTATAAATGTGTGGGATCTAGGACCTGGAATGGGGACCTGATGACCGCCTGGTACCCTCTCCTACTGTGGCTGAGCTGGTCTCCAAGATGCAAGACAAAGTCAAAGTCCTCTTTAGTCTTACCTCTCCTCTCCTCAACAAAAGAAAGGAGTGACTTTCTTTGCTGTGAGGTGTGCTGCCTGGGGTTAGGGGACGTAAGTGCAAGCACTCCTTAGTCTTTCCAGCTGATGTCTCACTAGGTTGGGGCCCCCCACATCCATTGGCTCAAAGTCCAAAACAGCAGTAGGACTTGTTCAAGAATTGTGGTCCTTGTGGCCTACACTGCCTCTCAAGTTTATTGAGGACCACATAGCACTTTGGTCTGCAATGGCGAGGCTTGGTGGAACTCAAGTTCCAACCACTGGGATGGGCGATTCCAATCTGGCTAGAACTGGTCTAAATTCTCCCTCTGTGGGTGGCTGTCAGTTGAGTTCAGCTGGGTTTTGATTTCTGCTGTGACAGGGCAGCAATGAGTTCAATTAACAGTTTCACAAGCATTGCACTCTCCCTCCTCTAAGTGCTCAGATTATCTCTCCCCACCACACAGCCACTGCCATGGGTTGGGGGAAGGATGCAATCAGTGATTCAAGACTGTTCCCTTCCCTCTTGAGTGCCTCTTTCAGCAATATGAAGTTAAAACCAGGTATTGTGGTTGCTCACCTGAGTTTTGGTTATGAAGATGGTTTTTTTGTGTAGATAGCCGTCACATTTGGTGTTCCTGCATGAGATATAATCAGTGGAGGATTCTATTCTGCCATCTTGCCCCACCCTTAATCCAAATAATTGTGATATTTTAATAAATATACACAATGTGTTAGTAAATCAGGATAATTAGCATATTCATCACCTCAAACCTTTGTCATTTCTTTGACTTGATAACATTCAATATCCTCTTTTTTAAGGGCCAGCCACAGTGACTAATGCCTGTAATCCCAGTACTTCGGGAGGTCAAAGTGGGAGGACTACTTGAAGCCAGGAGTTGGTGACCAGCCTGGGCAACATAGTGAGTCCCCATCTCTACAAAATAAAAATAAAAAATAGCTGGGCATGGTGGTGCATGCCTGTAGCCCCAGGTATTCGGGAGGCTGAGGTAAGAGGACTGCTTGAGCCCAGGAGTTTGAGGCTGTAGTGAGCTATGATCACATGACTGTACTGCAGCCTGGGCAAGAGTTGAGACTCTGTCTCTAAAAAAAGGAAATAACAATAAAATGCAAAATCTTCTAACTATTTGAAAAAATTTAATGAATTATTGTTTGCCATAGTTACCCTACAAAGCTATAGAACACTAGAACTTATTCTTCCCATCTAGCTGTTAACCAACCTCTCTCTATCCTCCCCTCCACAACACCCTTCTCATCATCTAATAACCACAATTCTACTCTCTACTTCTATGAGCTCAAATATTTTAGCTCCCACATATGAGTGAGAACAAGAGATATTTATCCTTCCATGTCTGACTTATTTAACTTAACATAATGTCCTCCAAGCTCATCCATGTTGCCATAAATGACATAAATGACAGAATTTTATTCTTTTTTTTCTGGCTGGTTTTCTATTTTGTGTATATATACATTGTCTTCATTCATCTGTTGATGGACTTTTAGATTGATTCCTATCTTGGCTGTTGTGAACAGTGCTGCAGTAAACATGGGGATGTAGGTGTCTCTTCAATATACGTACGGATTTCCCTCCTTCACATAAATACCCAGTAGTGGGATTGTTGGCTTGTATGGTAGTTCTATTTTCAGTTTTCTGAGAAACCTCCATACTGTTTTTTCATTTGGTTGTGCTAATTTACGTTCCCACCAATACTGTATAAGAGCTAACTTTTCTCCATATCCTCATCAGCATTTATTTTTTGTCTTTTTGATGACAGTCATTCTATCTGGGGTGAGGTGATATCTCATTGTGGTTTTGATTTGCATTGCCCTGATGATTGGGGATGTTGAGCATCTTTTCATATACCTATTGGCCATTTGTATTCCTTCTTTTGAGAAATGTCTATTCTGATCCTTTGCCCATTTTTAAATCAGATGATTTATTTTTTACTGCTGACTTCCCTGTATATTCTGCATATTAATCCCTTAGAGAATGAACAGTTGCCAAATATGTTCGCCCATTCTGCAGGCTGTCTCTTCACCCTGTGGATTATCTCCTTTGCTGTGCAGATACAGCATTCTTTTCTTGAAAACCATTTAATTGAGGTATGATTGACATGCAAAAAGCTGTACCTATTTAATATATACAATTGGTGCATGTGGAGATAAGTATACATCTGTGAACAATCTATGCCATAAACTGTCACCTCCAAAAGTTTCCTTCCCTCCTCTTGATTTATTGTTATTTATCATAAGAACATTCTTGAAAAGATAAAATTACAGAAATAGCTAACAGATTAGTGGTTGCCACAGGTCAAGGAGGGAGCAGGAATAGGAGGGAGGGGGGTATAGCTATAAAAGGCCAACACAGGGGATCCTGTGGTGATAGAAGTGTTCTATATATTGATTATACATCATTGTCAATGCCCTGGCTGTCAAAATAGACTGTAGTTTTGCAACATTTGGGAGGGAAACTGGGTAAAAGGTACATGGGATATCTCTATTATTTCTTATAACTGCATCTCAATCCACAACTATCTCAAAATAAAAAGTTTAATAAAAGCAATTTTAAAAAACATTTGGCTGTTGGAGATCTCACAAAGTAAGATTACTGTTGTCTACTTTAAATGACTTAATTATTCTTCTTCCTGGAAACAAGAAGTTAGATAAAGTGACCAAGGGAACTCATCAAGATTTTCCATAGCTCTATGACCATAGAATGGTATACTGCAAAATACAGTGTTTAATAGTCTTTAAAAAACAAAAATGGGTTAAGTTTCATCATAAAGCAATGGAATGTGACTTTCTAATCACTGAATGAAAATGAAATTATATCTGCTTCCACAATACATGTAAAACATATAGCTTCCTTTTGAAATTTTTATAAACATATTGCATATCAAAACTTACCTGCTCTTCTCTGTCTTAATTCTTTTAACATTCAATTTCCAGGTGACAAATGCTTTATTCATTCTGAAAGGAAAAATGCTTCTTATATTCCATATCCATAAACCATTTATATGGAATAAATTTAGTAAAAGCTTAGTAATATCAGAATATTCTCTAGAACATGTTTCATTCATCCTGAGTTACCTAAAGTAAATGCTAAACCATATAAATTTTCTCCCAAACTATCAGCAGAATATAGAGCAAAAGGTAAATGTAAATGAAAGTCCTTATAATTCTCACAGATGCAGGACTCACTTAGCTGCAGCATTCCAATAAATATTAAAAATGATTTTTAAAATATTGTTTTCCTTTATATGTTTATTGGCTTACTTTGAAAAGAGACTTCATACTTCAAGAAAAGTCAAGATTCAATTTTCATAATAATGAAAAGGTACATTGATAAAAAGTCTCTATAGCGGTAAGTAGAAAATTAAGGTAATGTATGTCATTTTGATATTATTTAATACTTATATAAAAAATGCACTTGTAATTTTTAAAACTCAAAGACCCTACATGAGAAGGAATTGGAAAGTTTCCCTGGTTATGATTCATCATCAATAATTGTCATGCATTCTGAAAAAGACATGCCAACTGTTTCTGCAAATCTCTTTCAATTCTAAATGACTATTGCCACCTACATTATGCACATGTGGGACTAGTCTAATGCAGTATCACAATTGCTTCCTTGGTAGCCTTTGCATCTAGAGGAAAACAACCACCTTTAAATAAACACTGAGATGTGATACTTGTTTTCTAATGTGAGATTACTTATGTAGCTGGTAAGAGCTAGTGGGTAGCAGAAAATCGTGGGGATAGGGGTGTGTCTGAGAAGCCAAACAGCCAATGTTAGTGATGACGTTGGCTAATTTTGAATCAAAGAAGGCTGAAAGGGGCCTGGAGCCATCCAAGCAGTTCAAAGAGAATCCCATGATATCCTTCAAACAGGCTCACCTGAGGCCTTGAAAATCAGGACTGCCTCAATCAAAATCTAGTACCTTGACCTTAAATCCAGTTCCAAAGAAGCACTCCACATAAGTTACTATTTCACTTTAATCCAAATCCATAGAGTCATGGTATCTCAGAACCCTAGAAGATCCCTGAAAATCCTTAGGAATCAGGGGGGAACCCAACGGTGTAAGGCGTATCTGCACCAGGTCACAAAAACTAATATACCAGAAAAGTTTCATGAGGTAAAACAATGATGCTGATGGTCTAATCACCCCTGTACTGGCATCACCAGCTTAAGTTGTTAACACTTCATCTTATCTCATTTTTCTATTTGAAATATTACCTTTTATAATATCGTGATCTAAGAAAAACTATGAAAATATTAAAAATAAAATTTAAAATTAAGTATATTAAGTATATATAAAATTAAGTACAAATTAAGTAAATATAAATTTTAATTTATTTTTTTCTTTACATGAATAAAGAAAATGAATCATTTTGACTATAGACTTTGATACCAAATGTCATGTAAAAAGATGATTCTTGTCCCAGTTGCAGTTGAATTTAAAAAGTTTAATAAATGATAACTATTTAGAGCAGAGCAGACCCTGAGGATGTATCAGAAGGCAAGCATAACAGTGGAAAGTCTGACACTGACAGAGTTTCAAATAAAAAGATACAGAAAATATTACTTTGGATAATATCTTAAATTGATAACCCAGAATCAAAAACCTATCTAGCCCCAATTCTAGCTCCTAAATTACAGGGATGCAACTATCACCTCTCTTTGACGAGAAACTTAGAACTGTTACTCAGTCACCTACACTACATGTGACAGGTCCCAGAAAATAACAGAACCAGCTTCATTTCCTACCAACTTCATTCCAGGAACACCACTTCTACTGTCAAATCCATACTAAACTAGTTCCTGCTTCATAACTTTGAAACTTGCATCTTCTGGAGCTCCCACAGGGCAGCCTAGTTTTAATCATTTAGGTCTCTGCTTCAATGCCACATCTCTGACCATCCTATCTAAAGAACCAATGCACACACACATCTCTAATTCTCTGTTTTATTATATTTCTAGGCCTCATCACGATCTGAAATTATTTATTTACCTATTATTATCTATCTCCTTCCATTAGAATATAAGTTCTATAGGAACAGAAACCTTGTATATTTTTTCGTAGTTCTGTCTCCAGTTCTTAACACAGGTGAAACAAAATAGGTACACAATAACATTTATTCAATAATTAATTTCTCTGTCACAAAATCCTTCTTCTCTTACCAAAAAAAAAAATTTCTCAGGTCCTTAGTTATTCAAGCTATTTACATATTAAATAAACAATTTAAAATATTATTTACCTGTTTTCCTAGTCCCCAGCAGACAAGAACATATCACAAGAAAAAGCAGACATTAGAGAAGAAACAAGAAAATTATAGAACTAGATATAAACACTAAAAGAACAATAACCTGGAACTACTCTGTGAAGAATCAGTCTTGGGAATCCTAATGTGATGTGATATAACATAATGTAACATAATGTACCTTAAAACTAGATAAATTTTTAATCATGAACTTGAATCAACAAGCTGCCTCCAGCTCCCTTACTCTGTTTTATTTTCCTTCAACCACATTTAGTCTCCACTCAATATTTCACATATTTGCATGTTTTCTATTATCTCTCACCCACTATGATATACATATTTGAGTGCAGGACAATTGTTTGGTTTGTTCAATACAATATCCTTGGCATCTAGAATATGCCTGGTTCTTAACAGACTCTCAATAAATATTCATATAAATAAATATATGCACGGAAAAAAAGGCAAACCCAAGTCAACATAGCTGACTCTTGAACAACATGGGTTTGAATGGCACAAGTCCATTTACATGTACATTTTCTTCCACATCTGCCACCCCTGAGACAGCAAAACCAATCTCTACTTTTCCTCCTCCTCCTCAGCCTACTCAATGTGACAATGACAAGGATGAAGAACTTTATTATGATCTACTTCCATTTAATGAGTAGTAAATTTATTTTCTCTCCCTTATGATTTTCCTTTTTCTTTCTTCTAACTTACTTTATTGTAAGAATACAGTATACATGTACCAGACAAAATATGTTAATGATTGTTTATGTTACTGATAAAGCTTCTTGTCAACAGTAGACTATTAGTATTAATAGCAAAGTTTGGGTAGAGTCAAAAGTTATACTCAAATTTTGAACTGTGTAGGGGGTCAGGGCCCCTAACCCTTGCATTGTGGCAGAGTCAACTGTAGGGTGTATTTAAGTTTGCTTGACTATAAAATATTTTTACAATATTTATCCAAAAAGACTAAAATTAAGAGTTGTAATACTGAAAAGGGTAAACTTCCTTCACCTAAAAAATTTTTATGGAACATCCCATTCCTCTGTAACTTATGGCATTTCCTCATAAGTTACAGGTAACAAATGCTTTATTAATTCTGAAAGGAAAAATGCTTCTTAAATGCCAAAATTATTGGCATTTCTTCATAAGTTACAGAGGAAATGGGGTGTTCCATAAAAATTTTTAGATAAAGGAATTAGTACTATTTTCTACTGGTATTACTGTAGTAGAACCCAGATGTCAATCGGGCAACTGCTCCTTCAACAGGATCAAACTACAAAGAACTGGTTTCATTTTTTTTCACCTCACCGGAAATCAGAAAATATCTTGAATTGACGTAATAAATAGTAATGTCTTCTTTCTGATAGCCATTCCAAAGTAGGTATGAGTTCTACTTCCTCTATACTACCAACGATATTAGTGACCTACAAAATAAAGCACAAAAGCATTATTTTATTTATTTTAAAAATATGTACCATTTTCAAGAAATTAAGAAAGCCTGTATTTGGCTGATAACTTCTTGCCTTTATAACTAAGTTTTTTCCATGTATGAATCCTCAGCTATTTTATCTATACCCAAATTTGATTTCCCACAACACACTGCTTCTACACTTGCTATTTTCTTTTTTTTTTTGTATTCTTTTTATTTTTTATTTTTTTATTTTTATTTATTTATTTATTATTATTATTATACCTTAAGTTCTAGGGTACATGTGCATAACGTGCAGGTTTGTTACATATGTATACTTGTGCCACTTGCTATTTTCTAACGCTATTTCTCGTGCTCCGACAGAGAGAAACTTCCTCCTCACCCTGAGATACTTTTCACAAATAGCTGTTCAAATTTGAGTCTCACAATTTTTACATTTTCTATAAAAGTAGTATTTATGAACTTAATTTTAGCTACAGAGATGCGGTAGTCCAAAGTGGCTTATAATCTCACTACCCACATATCCTATATTGACATTCAAAAACTACATGCCCTTCATCAAGGAGTTCTCTCTCCTCCCATGAGTGGCCCTCCCCTATCTGAATGTCACCATTTAAAAAATAATTTTATTCCAGAGATAAAAGTATGCATATTTTTATCAGCACATATGTATCTATGTGTATATTCATATATATGTAGAAGTTTTTCCTCCATTCTCACTTGATACTATTAGAGGTATTTCTGTATCTGCACATACAGATCTACCTCATACAAAGATGTGGTCTTGCCCATGCTTAAAGTTCATTTTAGTTGGGAGGCTGGGAGGGCAGAAAAAGGCAGACAGACATTAAACAAATCATTAAAACAAGTAATTGTATATTTTCAACTTGTGATAAATATCAAAATGCTATATAAGAGTGTAAAAGGGGGATTTCTACACCTGGCAATAAAGTTTCTGACAAAAGTGCCAATAAAGAATACTCTTTTCTTTATTATTATAGTTCCCATTATGTTAGCAAATGCTTGTTCTGTAGTCCTTCCTTTAAAAATTTACTCCAAGTATTAACAAAGTATTTGATAGATGAAAAAATTTATTAAAGTTGAATCTCCAAACCTAAATCTCTACACAAAAGGAAAAACTTCACTATTAAATAACATTCTCCCAAGGAGATTCTTATATACAAACTGCTCCACAAATGACCAAGTATCTCTGAAACAGAAAGATAAATGTACGCAATTAAATTCTACATTGGATAATATTTTTGTATTGTAATTCCGAAAGCTTAAAACATCCATTAAACATTACCTTTGAGATAAATGAAGCAGTAATAACCCAAAATTCTTTGCAATGTTTAGCGGTATGAGCCGATACTGCCTGAAGATCATACGGATTGTAAAGGGCTTTAGGACTTTTCCGAGGAAGGCAATATACAAATTCTCCATCATCTTCCAAAGGTTTCTGAGATTTAAAAAAATAAAAATAAAGAAATTTAATTATTTTGACTAAATTAACAAAATTAATACAATGGCTGAACTGATTATCCACTAAATTGAAACAATTTAAACACAGATTAAAAATAAGAATACTATATCTGGAGAAAGTTAACATCAAATTGTGTCTAAACAATGTTCAACAAGATCACTCTTATGAAAGATTTAACATATTTAATTTTCATCCTTAAAAAAGGATCCTTAATTCAGAAAAAAATATCTATATGCTTAATAATACATGCTTACTAATCCAAAGAACTCGACGACATACCTTTTACATAATACGCCATCTTCCAGTATTTGTCTGCCAACACCAGAAATCTTTGGGCATATTAAATTTGTCATTTATTTTGATAATGATAGCGATTTAGTATAAGATAAAAATAGCTATTATTTGTTAAGTAATAAATAATGAGTAATAACTCTTTCATATACATTATCTTTACAACCATAAGAGTTTAATCTATTAACATTCACCTCTCAAATTTAAAAAAACTAAGGCTTGATATTTTTAATCGCACTAAACAATTGCAGAAATTAATACTTTGAGGGAACTGAGTGAGGTGGCTCACGTCTGTAATCCCAGCTACTCAGGAGGCTGAGGTGAGATCACTTGAGCCCAAGAGTTTGAAGCTGCAGGGAGCTTTACTCACACCATTGTGGCTTCAGCCTAGGTGACAGAGAAAGACCCTGTTTTTCAAATTTAAAAAAATGAATATTTTGATAAGTTAGATAATTTGAGAAAAGTCACAAATTCAGGAAATGGTGAACTAGGGATGTGAATCCAAGTCTGACTCTAAACCCATATTCTAAGCTATTGCAATAAATTATAATGCCTCTCCCATACTTGGCATTGAAAAATCAGCCATTACACATTAAGGAAAATTTTAAGTAAAATGTATTTATTTTAGCTTTAAAATAAAAGTTTCCTGAAACTTTTAACTTTTATTGACAAAAAATTCTAAAATCATAAGAAAACTTTAGTCTTTTCTGGATAAATTTTACCATAAAAAAGCATTTAGTATTTAGTGATGTCCTTAGAAGCTATTTAATTGTGTAACTAAACGGTTTCCAATCATTGTAGTTTTAAATTTTGGATCCAGTTTTACACTTTTTAAAATTCTGTCTTCCTTGAAGATTACTTGTTTCTTCTCAATTATTTTAGCTGTTTCACTTTCTTACTTCAGCTTCTAATATAATCAATATTAAACCCTCAAAAACAAGTTTAAAAACTGCAAATAACAGGAAATAAATGAGCTCTAAATGATGACTCGTATAATGTATGACCTTTTTAATTGTTATTTGGTTATTTGAGTCATTTATGTTCTAAATTAGGTTTCAAAACATTACTAAGAAACAAGATAGATACAAATCTTCCAAATGGATTATATATATAATTAAAAAATCAAATCATAAAAGCATAAAAATATGTTCCAATTAAATTATTTTTTCAATTAAAAACAAGTGTTTAATCATATTCTCAATCCTTTCTTCACACACAAATGAAATTCACTTTATTTGAGAGTCCAAGGAACCCATGTACAGCTATGGTTTTGTTTTGTTTTTAAACTACTGTGCCCACCACCTGCCAGGAACCATGGCATATATTTAATTTTCACAGTCCTCCATGGTAACTATTATTATCTCCATTTCAAGGTCAAAAAACTAAAGCTCAAGAGGTTAGGAACTTGATAACATGGTGAGTGTACAGGTTCAAAACTAGATAAAACTGATTCAATTATACATGTACTTTTCTTCACATTGTTGCCTCTGAAAAATGATCAAAAGATGATGATTTATCTTCATGGTACAGTGTAGAGCAGGGCAAGGTGCCTGCTTTTGTAAATAAAGTTTTATTGGAACACAGTCACATCCATTTATGTATGTATTATCTATCAATGCTTTGGTACTACAGTGACAGAGTTGAGTAGTTGCAAAATCTAAAGTATTTATTACCTGGTCCTCTTCAGAAAAAAATCTGCTGATCCTTGGTTGGGAGCAGTAGTTCTTAATTGTGCATTAGAATCGTGGAGAACTGAATAAAATACAGATTGCAAAGCTCTGCCTCCAAAGGTTTCTGATTCAGTGGGTCTAGGGTGCAGATAAGAATATGTATGTCTAATAAGTTCTAAGGTGATTCCAGTGTTGCTTGTCTGGGGACCACATTTTGAGAGTCCCCTTTCTAACAGTAGGGAGAGATGATCCTGTTCAATCTTAGAGCACCTGTAATAAATGAGGTCTCAGGACACAAACCTTAGTTCTTACCACAGCTTCTACCCTCTGGTCATGTGACCTTGGACAAGCTAAAATTTCTCTGAAGACAGAGGCTAATGGGTAAGAAAAAAATGAACAGCATAAGGAAACACAGACCAGATGAGATAGAAAATCAGGTACCAGGGAGTTAGAGTGTGAGAAGAATAGAATGTTACATTACCTAACAATTTCTTCTTAAATCACAGAAAAAGTGATATCCAGAAACCAAACAGTAGATTCAAGTTTCAGGCAGATGATACACCTTTGCTGGGGACTCACTCAAAGAAAGTGATAAGAGGGGACAAACACAAATATTTTGATGTGTCATAGACTTAAAGTTTATATGCTTGATCTATTCTCCATTTCTTAAATAAGTAAAATGAAATGATGTCAAATACTTTTGCATTTACCATGAAATAATTGTAACTTGATATTAATGTAATGTTTGACTTTGACATAATATTTGAAATGAAATAAAAATAAAAATATAATTTCAACATTGATTTTTAAAGATCAAAATTAAATAAAATAGAATAATACCTTTAAAGTAATCTTCTGAACTGCAATTTTGGAACTTCCATATTTCAAACTGTGCTGCGGTAATACAGTTTGCCAACCAAGCTTTTCTCGTAACCTAATAATATTTCTTATCACATCATCATCTTTTGGTTCTGGTATAGAACAATTTAAAAATCCAATATAAGTGCAAATGTGGGCATCACTTAAGGATAATGCAAAATATTCCAAATATTTCTATATAGAGAAAAAAATCTAAATGGTAACTTAAACGATTATATTATTAGAGGAGAAAATATAGCTTAAAATTTAGTTTTAACAGAAGTTGGAAAGAGGGAATAATATTTATCAATTTAAGAAAGACGTCACGAAAGACCTAATTCATAATTACACAGGTAGTAATAAGAGAAGAGACTAGGAACAGGAACCGGTTATAAGGCTTTTCTTAATAAATGCCTAAGCTGGGGGAGGGGCAGTTGGATCAGAAAAGCAGGGATGACAGGGTGGGATGGAAATATTTTTCCTAAGGATACTCATCCCACAGACACCTTTCAGATCATCTCTCACTTAATCTCTTAGCCAACAGTTGACAATCCTCTCGTTCTTGAAAGAGTCTCTTTTCTTGGCTTTTATTCACTATGCTATACAGGTTGTCCTGTTGGCCCTTAAACTTATTTTCTTGATAGAACAAATCTTGGAAAGAGAAGCATACAGAAAGCCATGCTAAGAAGTTATATTTCTGGCCCTCTAGAAATTACAAACAACATTGGACTAAAACAACTTCTTTTCTAAGGATTAAATGAGACTTGAGCTCTTGTATAAGACAGTATGATAACTAGGATGAGGCACTTGCATGACTCTAAGAGTGAGTCCCTCTTTACATTTTGTGCCCTAGGTGAGGTATTGAAAATTAGTATTAAGGATATGGTACAACTGTGTATGTCTGACAAGAGGATAATTAACATTATAGACCCAGATATAAAAATATATACCTTCTAGAAATCAAAATAGTGTGGTATTGACAGAAAAGCAAAGAAGTAGAACAAATTAGAGTTTTGAAATATAACTACGTATACAAGCCAATCTAATAAGTGAAAAAGATAATTCAAATCAACAGAAGAACGATTAACTATTCAATAAATCATAATGCAAAAGTGGTTAGTCATTTGAAATAAATATGCAGTTATATGCAAGCATAAATTATAGATGGATTACAGCTGTAAATGTCAAAAAACAAATTATAGAAATACTAGAAGAAAATATGGCAGAATATGTTTATAAAACTGGGGTAGTAAAGGCTTCTTGAAAAAGAGTCAAAGCATGTTAAAAGGAAAACAATCATACATTTGACTTGCTCAAACTTAGCAACTTATATACAAGAAAAACCACCATACACAAAGTTAAAATGTAATTAACACATTTTAAAAAGATGTTTATAATCTATATAACAGGCTAGAGATTACTATACCAAATATCTCAAGAATTCTTAACGATTAAAAAATAAACATTTTGATAAAAAGATGAACAAAAAATTTACAGGAAAAGATAAACAGCCCATAAACATATGGAAAAGTATTCAACCTCATTAGTAATCAGGGAATTGCAAATAAAATAAAAATTAAAACACATATCTCACTCAGACTGGCAAAAAATTTAAAATTGGAAAATATCAGCTATTGGCAAGGGTATTCCCCTTGTGTAATATCATGAAAGTATCATAAATTAGCATTTTCATTTTTGAGTGTGATTTGGCAGATTCAACAGATCTGACAAAGACTGTTCAAAAATGGAGGCAGTTTCAGCAAATAAAGAACCCTTTTTCAGAATAAATAGTAAAATATAAGGAAGGCATAACTTTCAAAAAGCTGGAAAGAAAACATCTTTCTAAAAAAGAGTTAGGTTAGTTCATGACAGAATCAAGAATGCTTACTAAAAAGAAACAAGGTCAGGAGTCTGGCAAATTTTGGCTGGGTCCTCTGCTCAGGGTCTTACAGGGCTGAAACCAAAGTGTCAGCTGACCATGCCCTTATCTGGAGGCTGGGCTAGCGAAAGACTTGCCTCTAAGCTCCTCAGGTTTGAGGTGGAATTCGTTTCCTTATGGCTGTATTACTAAGGTCCCCATTTCCTTGGTAGTTGGCTGGGTACAGTTCTCAGCGAACTTTAGGGTTCTTGCCATGTGGCCCTCTCTACAACATGGCAGTTTGCTCCTTCAAAGGCAGTGGCAGGGCCTCTGCTACTACTTGCGGTCTCTTAAGGGTTTATCTGATTAGGTCAGGCTTGCCTCTAATAGTCTCCTTTGATAAATTTAAAGTCAACTGATTAAGGGTCTTAAATACATCTGAAAATCCCTTTGCCATATAAATAATATAAAAGCATGGGAGTGACAGTCTATCATATTCACAGGTTCTGTTTCCACTTAGGAGTAGGCAATTATACAAAGCATGTACACCAGAGGGTAGGAATACTGGAGGGCATATTAGAATTCTGTCTACAACTTCCTTTTTAAAAAAAATGACTAAATGTTGTTAAATCCTGGTAATGAGTACATGAATACTAAATTATTTTCTCTATATTGTATATTTGAAATATTTAATAATTGTTTTAAAATCTAAACAAAATGCTACTTAGGTCTTTACCAGTTTACGTATTCATGAATTTATAGAAGCTAAATGAGGGAAGCAAATTAAAGAAATGCAATCAGTAAAGAATTAGAATTTTATTTATCTGGCAACCATTAAATCTAAATTACTGGCCTTTCTTACACTAGATACCAATTTCAAAACACTAAAGGACAATGCAACTAAATACTAAGAATTCTTAATGTACAGCAACATTTGTGGCAATAAAGCCACTGTATCAGTTTCCTGGATGCATGATATGGTGTGGCTCTGTGTCCTCACCCAAATCTCTCACCTTGAATTGTAATCCCCATAATCCCCATGTGTCAAGCGTGGGACTAGGTGGAGTAAGTGGATCATGGGGGTGGTTTCCCCCATTTTGTTCTCATGATAATGAGTGAGTTTCACGAGATCTGATTGTTTTATAAGCATCTGGCATTTCCCCTGTTTGCACTCACTCCATCCTGCCACACTGTGAAAAAGGTGCCTGCTTCTCCTTTACCTTCCACTATGATTCTAAGTTTTCTGAGGCCTCCCCAGGAATGCAGAACTGTGAGTGAATTAAACCCCTTCCCTTTATAAAATACCCTGTCTCAGGTATTTCTGCATAGCAGTGTGAGAATGGACTAAAACAATGCATAACAAATTACTGCAAATTTAGTGGCTTCAAACAACATGTATTTACTATCTCACAGTTTCTGTGCGTCAGGAGTCTAGATACAGCTTAACTGCATCCTCTGCTTAAAGTCTCAAAGGCTGTAATCATGGTGTTGGTTGGTAACGGATTCTCATTTGGAGGCTCTATTGGGAAAAGATCTGCTTCCAAGCTCCCTGAGGTTGTAAGAACTCGTTTCCTTGTGATTTGAGTCATAGTAGCTTGCTTCTTCAAAGCCAGCAAAGGGGAGAGACTCTAGAACAAGTCCACCAGCAAGGTGGAGTCTTGGATAATGTAATATAATCACAGCATTGACAGTCCATCACCTATTAGTTAGAAGCATTCACAGGTCCTTTCCACATTTAAGGGGAGAGAATTATACGAGGGCATGAACAACACCACGTCTGTGCAAGTTTTGTGCTGTATGAGGTACTTATAATTTTGAGGATATTTATTTAAAGAAAGGGCGAAGCCTGTGTGAGTCAGGGGCCCTGAAGCTTAGGCTTCAATAGCTTTATAATAAATCCACCTCTGTATCATGGTGTTTCTATGAAAATAGAAAAGTTTTCTTTCTCTTATAAAATTTAAAATATTAATACTAAGAAGAATTTCAGGCATAGAGAAAACACAAACTAGAAGATGTTAGTGGAAGAAAATCTATTTAAATAAACTATTTATTTGGAGATTTAAACTCTTTATCAGACAAAGGTATAAAATTGTTAAATAAAATGAAATCATCAAGTTTTACTACAGTTATATGTAAAACACTATACAGTTTATATTATAGTTCTAAAATCATAGCCTTCAGAGATTGTTCTTAATTAAGAACAGTGATTAAACAATCTCTGTCAATTATTCAATGTAATATTTTAGATTTTCAAAAAGAACTTAAAAAGCATTTTAATAATCCTTTAAGCAACCAAACACATAAAATTAGGTAATACTGTTTTTTTCTAAAGTCAGTGTCCAATATAAGCAAACAAACCACAGAATAATTTGAAAAAGTATAGTGATTTCTAAGCAATCTGGTTCAATGATACCACATACCTGTTCTATCATATGACACAGGCCTGGCTTTCCTAACTTTTGGACAAGCATGAGTTTGATCCTTTTTTCTCCATGACTTCCCTTTCTCCCTAAGCGAAGCTGGTTCTGGAGAAACCATATGTTGTTGAGTTATATTTTCTTTAAGGTAATCTGAAAATAAAACCATTATTAACTGAATAACTAGTGTGAGATATAAATAATACCATAGTAATTCCACATACCCAGCAATACAGTTAATGATTATATAAGGCAGTATAGCATAGTAGTTAAGAGCACAGGCTGCCTGGGTTCTAAGCTCATATACAAGCTTTAACACTCATAGTCATGTGATTTACTTTGTAAGTTACCTATCTGCCTTGCTTTCCTCACCTTTGAAATGAGAATTATCATAGTAAGAACCTCATAGGTTGTTACAAGAATTAAATTAGATAATACATTTAAAGCACACAGTAAGTGCTTACTAAGGTAAATGTTAGTTAACTTTATTATTAGGTTGACACAAAAGTAATTGTGATTTTTGAATATTATACTAAATCTTTAAAGTGTGAATCCTCACATGAAATAAATACAGAAATGACCCTTTTTATTAACTGTAATTTGATAACTAAGCAGAGAAAATATTTAGATACAAATACAGAAAAGTAACAAAAGGTCTATTTCTTATTTTGTCTATGGCTTGCCTAATTGGTAGACTTAACACATAGAAGAATGGGGAAAATAGTAAAAACAGAGCTTTGAAGAAAGAAATACATTGTCTTGTTCTCATTCATTTAACAAATACTTCTGTAGTGCAAGGCACTGTGCTACAATTTAGTAAGGCAAAAGACAGGATAATTACAAACAAAACAAAGGGGTACAAATGAAATAAACAATAAGTTTTATTTCAACAAATAGTCCTAATTCAGAAGAGAGAGAGATAATTTCCCACTTGTATAATCAGAGGAAACCACAGACCTCTCCTGTTCCAAAGACCAAATGTTGAATGATGGTAAGGCTTTCAATTGTGGGGTAGAGGAGAAGGGTAGCTGGGGATGAGAGAAAGATAAGAAAACAAGAGAATTGTTCAGGAGATCACAATGAAAAAAAAAATGTGGCATTAGTGGAAAGATTCATGAGGTAGTTGTGAAAACTTTCTTCTATCTTTAAACTGTATTCCTCTCTACCTTAGTTGAAATCTAGTTATTCCCTATGGCACTACTGACATGCGACCCTCTGGTTAGTGGCTGTATATTCCCACACTCCATTTACCTCAAGATTGGAAAGTGAGCTTGTTTCAACACTCCTCACTCTCCATTCACCACTTCCAAATCATTACAACTTGCCCTCTTTCTTTAATAAATAACATAAAAATCTATTCCTTTGAAGCTCATGCTTTTTGATTACACTATATTCTTCCACTGTTTATTGATAAGTACCAATTGCCTGGTCACTCAATCTGGAACTCTGGGTAAAGGGAGAGCCAACTTTCAACATACTAAATCTGCCATCACATGGATGACTTCAGTGTTCATGAATTAAGACCTGTCTAAAGCTGTGCTCTACTCCCCTCTTTTCTGGATGTCCTCCTATCACTAACTCTACATCAACCAACCACATTGCCAATTACATAATAGTGCTTGTCATCACTTGCCCTCCATCGTCTCAGCTTGTTTAATTCTCCCAACATGACCATTCTTTAAGCTCATCAGGAACTCCAGTCCATTGCTCTATTGCTTTCTTACAATCCATCATCCCTCTATTTTATTTCATCTTTCTCTTTATCCAGCTTAGATTATGTCTTTCTGCAGCACTCTTGCCAATATCCTAAACTCCCTCTTTCTGTTGGCCTCACCTGTATGGCAAAACACTGACCCTGGATAAAACCAACTCTAGGGGGCGGAGCAAGATGGCCAAATAGGAATAGCTCCAGTCTCCATCTCCCAGCACGAGCGACACAGAAGACAGGTGATTTCTGCATTTTCAACTGAGGTACTGGGTTCATCTCACTAGGGATTGCCGGACAATCGGTGCTGGTCAGCTGCTGCAGCCCGACCAGCGAGAGCTGAAGCAGGGCGAGGCATCGCCTCACCTAGGAAGCACAAGGGGGAAGGGAATCCCTTTTCCTAGCCAGGGGAACTGAGCCACACAACACCTGGAAAATCGGGTAACTCCCACCCCAATACTGCGCTTTACCAAGGGTCTTAGCAAACCGGCACACCAGGAGACTATATACCACACCTGGCCGAGAGGGTCCCATGCCCAGGGAGCCTCCCTCATTGCCAGTACAGCAGTCTGCCATCTAACTGCAAGGCAGCAGCGAGGCTGGGGGAGGGATGCCCACCATTGCTGAGGCTTAAGTAGGTAAACAAAGCCGCTGGGAAGCTCGAACTGGGTGGAGCTCACAGCAGCTCAAGGAAACCTGCCTGTCTTTGTAGACTCCACCTCTGGGGACAGGGCACAGCTAAACAACAACAACAACAACAAAAGCAGCAGAAACCACTGCAGACGCAAACGACTCTGACAGCTTTGAAGAGAGCAGTGGATCTCCCAACACAGAGGCTGAGATCTGAGAACGGACAGACTGCCTGCTCAAGTGGGTCCCTGACCCCTGAGTAGCCTAACTGGGAGACATCCCCCACTAGGGGCAGACCGACACCCCACACCTCACACAGTGGAGTACACCCCTGAGAGGAAGCTTCCAAAGCAAGAATCAGACAGGTACACTCGCTGTTCAGCAATACACAAGAATCAGACAGGTACACTCTTCTGCAGCCTCTGCTGCTGATACCCAGGTAAACAGGGTCTGAAGTGGACCTCAAGCAACCTCCAACAGACCTACAGCTGAGGGTCCTGACTGTTAGAAGGAAAACTAACAAACAGGAAGGATACACACACCAAAACCCAATCAGTATGTCACCATCATCAAAGACCAGAGGCAGATAAAACCACAAAGATGGGGGAAAAGCTGGGCAGAAAAGCTGGAAATTCAAAAAATAAGAGCGCATCTCCCCCTGCAAAGGAACGCAGCTCATCGCCAGCAACGGATCAAAGCTGGACAGAGAATGACTTTGACGAGAGGAGAGAAGAAGGCTTCAGTCCATCAAACTTCTCAGAGCTAAAGGAAGAATTACGTATCCAGTGCAAAGAAACTAGAAATCTTGAAAAAAGAGTGGAAGAACTGATAATTAGAATAATTAATGCAGAGAAGGCCATAAACGAACTGACAGAGATGAAAACCATGACACGAGAAATACGTGACAAATGCACAAGCTTCAGTAACCGACTTGATCAACTGGAGGAAAGAGTATCAGCAATTGAGGGTCAAATGAATGAAATGAAGCGAGAAGAGAAACCAAAAGAAAAAAGAAGAAAAAGAAATGAACAAAGCCTGCAAGAAGTATGGGATTATGTAAAAAGACCAAATCTACATCTGATTGGGGTGCCTGAAAGTGAGGGGGAAAAATGGAACCAAGTTGGAAAACACTCTTCAGGATATCATCCAGGAGAACTTCCCCAACCTAGTAGGGCAGGCCGACATTCAAATTCAGGAAATATAGAGAATGCCACAAAGATACTCCTCGAGAAGAGCAACTCCAAGACACATAATTGCCAGATTCACCAAAGTTGAAATGAAGGAAAAAATCTGAACAGCAGCCAGAGAGAAAGGTCAGGTTACCCACAAAGGGAAGCCCATCAGACTAACAGCAGATCTCTCGGCAGAAACTACAAGCCAGAAGAGAGTGGGGGCCAATATTCAACATTCTTAAAGAAAAGAATTTTAAACCCAGAATTTCATATCCAGCCAAACTAAGTTTCATAAGTGAAGGAGAAATAAAATCCTTTACAGATAAGCAAATGCTTAGAGATTTCGTCACCACCAGGCCTGCCTTACAAGAGACCCTGAAGGAAGCACTAAACATGGAAAGGAACAACCGGTACCAGCCATTGCAAAAACATGCCAAAATGTAAAGACCATCGAGGCTAGGAAGAAACTGCATCAACTAACGAGCAAAATAACCAGTTAATATCATAATGGCAGGATCAAGTTCACACATAACAATATTAACCTTAAATGTAAATGGACTAAATGCTCCAATTAAAAGACACAGACTGGCAAACTGGATAAAGAGTCAAGACCCATCAGTTTACTGTATTCAGGAGACCCATCTCACATGCAGAGACACACATAGGCTCAAAATAAAGGGATGGAGGAAGATCTACCAAGCAAATGGAGAACAAAAAAAAGCAGGGGTTGCAATCCTAGTCTCTGATAAAACAGACTTTAAACCATCAAAGATCAAAAGAGACAAAGAAGGCCATTACATAATGGTAAAGGGATCAATTCAACAGGAAGAGCTAACTATTCTAAATATATATGCACCTAATACTGGAGCACCAAGATTCATAAAGCATGTCCTTAGAGACTTACAAAGAGACTTAGACTCCCACACAATAATAATGGGAGACTTCAACACTCCACTGTCAACATTAGACAGATCAACGAGACAGAAAGTTAACAAGGATATCCAGGAATTGAACTCATCTCTGCAGCAAGCAGACCTAATAGATATCTACAGAACTATCCACCCCAAATCAACAGAATATACATTCTTCTCAGCACCACATCATACTTATTCCAAAATAGACCACATAATTGGAAGTAAAGCACTCCTCAGCAAATGTACAAGAACGGAAATTATAACAAACTGTCTTTCAGACCACAGTGCAATCAAACTAGAACTCAGGACTAAGAAACTGAATCAAAACTGCTCAACTACATGGAAACTGAATAACCTGCTCCTGAGTGACTACTGGGTACATAACGAAATGAAGGCAGAAATAAAGATGTTCTTTGAAACCAATGAGAACAAAGATACAACATACCAGAATCCCTGGAACACATTAAAAGCAGTGTGTAGAGGGAAATTTATAGCACTAAATGCCCACAAGAGAAAGCAGGAAAGATCTAAAATTGACACTCTAACATCACAATTAAAAGAACTAGAGAAGCAAGAGCAAACACATTCAAAAGCTAGCAGAAGGCAAGAAATAACTAAGATCAGAGCAGAACTGAAGGAGATAGAGACACAAAAAACCCTCCAAAAAATCAATGAATCCAGGAGTTGGTTTTTTGAAAAGATCAACAAAATTGAGAGACTGCTAGCAAGACT